CTGCAGCGGGGCCAGCTCCAAGATTAGTTTTACTCTTTCTTGGAAAACAGCTCCCCGACTCCTTTTGCGAGTCTTGAAATGCGTATGACCAGAGAAATCATTACAAAATAATAACAAAATTTGAGGTGTATTTTGTACCCACATCAGTCAGGAAACCACTTCGGGCTCTTCCCGCCTCCTCCCGGCCACCAAGCTGCCCCAGTGGGAACGCTGTTTTGAAGTCCGTTCTGGGGCTTGCTTTTGCTGGGAGTATGCATGCTAGTGAGCCAAGCACATCACTTAGGGAGGAAGGCAAGGAGAGTTCTGATTTTCCCTCTGTGCTTGAATCTGCAAAATTCAAAATACCTCCAGTCCCAGGAGATGAGCGAAATGCCTCTTCTAAAGATTCCCAAGGTCCCTTAAAAGTTTTATGTACAGATAATTAAATACTTAATTGAAAGAGAAAATGGAAGTTGAGGGGTTCCTTCAGACTGTTCTTTAAATTATCAATTAAATCAAGTGAAATCCACTCTGTAATAACAATGATAAAAAGCAATCTCATTTTTATTTTCACCTTTAATAGTTAAAAAAAAATGCAGGGATTTCTTTCCGGGCTGTACTGTAATGCGAATACCTTTGAATGATAGTGGTTTCCACGTGGGGAAGTTACACGGGTTAAGAGGAATGATTCTGGTATGTAACAAGTATCGAGCTGTGAACTCTTCAGTAACACAGGCGTCTGTTAACGACGATACATACAGACCAAGCTATCACTTTCAAATGGATGGCCATTACTAGAGTGTTTCCTGAGGGCTCAGAGGGCAGCATAGTGCCAGTGCCTCTGAGGAGTCTCACACAGGCTCCCATCCAGGACAGGCAGCGCTGAGTACGTCAGACATGCACGTTCCCATGACCCAGGCTGGCTGAAGGCTGAGGGTGTTTTGTGTCATCAAGACCCGGCTGGGGGTTCTCTCTGTCACTGTGTCCTCTCTTGATTAAAAAAAAAAAAAAAAAGAATATTTATTTAAATCACAATCCAGTAAATCTACCTTATGATGATGGACTTTATGTTGTTTACAGGTTTTAACCATTTTTTTGCTTTTAATATATTTTATTGAGATGATGGAGTTACAAAAGTAAATGTAAAATGTTTTTAAATAATTATTTAACTTTATTATTATTATTTAGTTTACTATAGGGAACATGTGTTCACCAGAGACAGAGAGAAATGAGAAAGCCAGTTGCCAGGTCCCACTGAGCCACTGTCAGCCATGTGGGAGTTCAACACTGGTACCACTGTGCCACCTGCCGGGCCCCAAATGCCTTTGTTTTTTTTTTTTTTTAAGAGAGAGATTTTTTTTTTTTTTTCTGTAGGGCCTGTGAGCTCACTGGAGAGATAGAGACAGGGAGACAGAAAGCAAGAAATCACCCCCCACATACACACACACGCACAGGGCAGATGGCCATGCCACAATCCCTTCTCCGCCATTCTCCTCTCAGGACCTAGGGCACCACGTATGCACACATGCCCAGAGTGAGTTTTAAGCTGACAATTGGGGACTCAAACTGCAGTTGACCATGTGGGAGTCCAGCAACATAACCATTACGCCATCTACTGGTCCCCAAAATATCTTTTTGTAAAGTACAATTAATTGACTTAGAAAAATACATAAAGCTTCTAAAAGTTTAACAATTTCTTTCTTTCTTTCTTTCTTTCTTTCTTTCTTTCTTTCTTTCTTTCTTTTTCCTTCTTTCTTTCTTTTTTTTTTTTTGACGTAGGATGTGGTACTCACGAGAGAGAGAGAGAGAGAGAGAGAAAGTGAGAAATCAACCCCCAATTGTGACGGCCATGCTGTAATCCCATCTCCTCCAGTCTCCTCTCTGGACTTCGGTCATGCATGCATATGTACCTGGTATGCTTTCAAGGCACTGATATGGGACTTAAACCGCTGATTCGACCAGGTGATATCCAGTGTCTTAACCTCCATGCCACCTGATGGCCCAACAACATAAACGTTTATGTTAAGAACATTTTAAAGGGACCAGCAGATGATATAATGGTTATGTCACTAGACTCTCATGCCAGGTGGCTTAAAAGTAATGCCGGTGGTGTGTGTGTGTGTGTGCCCAAAATCCCAAGAGGAGAATAGAAGAGAAAGGATTGTGATGTGGCTATCCCCCCAGGAGATGACTTCTTGCTTTCTACCTCTCTGTTTCTCTAGTAAGTGCATGTACCCTATAGCAAAAATCTAAAAAAAAAACATTTAAAAATATTGCAGATGGTAATCAAGGCTGATTTTTACAAATTATTTTTTAAAAATTATTTAATTTTAATTTTATTTATTATTATTATTTTAATTTGACGAGAGAGAGAGAGAGAGAGAGAGAGAGAGAGAGAGAGAGAAGAATAAAAATGCAAGCTGCCCAGATCTAGGACTTGAACCATGGTTGGTCATGTGGGAGTCCAGCACCTCAACCATCATGCCACCTGCCAGCACCATAAACTATTTTCAATGTAGACCAAACATAAAAGATTGTTCTACAGTAAGTCTATAGCACACTGGTAATATTTGGATTTACAGAATATTTCTTTGGATTGAATCTGACAGTGGGAGAATGAATGAAACGAATTTCAATGTATTGTTTTAATAAAACCACTGCCACTGCAACCCCACTTAATATCATTCCCCCAAACCTTTCACAGTCTGAAATATCGAAATCAAATGCATAAAGAGGAAGGCCTCTTTTGTTATTTTTATTTTCCCTCTTTGTCAGAATTCTATACTAGTAGAAACCAAATTCACTTACTGAACAGACCTCAGGAAATAACCTGCCCATTGAAGGAGCTGTGTTAGATGTCTCCTGCATTCTTCAGGCCAAGAGACGAGGCAGGGACAGCACCACACCATGACTGGGGCTGCTTAGAAACAAATCCATCAGCCTTGCTCTCTTTGGGCCTGACTTGCTTATGCTTCTGAGATAATGATGTTCTATTTGAAAAGGTCTACCTTCTAGCATGACCTCACTGCTCAGAGAGGAGGCCAGCAATAGAATCAGGCTCCCTCAGCAGTGTTTGTGAAATTTATATTACTGTAATTGTTTCTCTTGCCACTATGCTAGTAGAAAAACTTTACCTTTTAAAAAAGGATTCTTTTTTAAGGTTATTTATCATTATCATTCTTATTATTTTCTAATTTGCTACATGCTCACCAGAGAGAGACACACAGAGAGAGAATGTGAGAAAGCAAGCCACCAGGTCTGGGACTTGAACCGTGGTCAGCCATGTGGGAGTCCAGCGCCCCAAGCACCATGCCACCTGCTGGCTCTGAAAACTTTACGTTTGTTACCAAGGCACAATGAGTACTGATTTGCATGCTTTTTTCCCTAGTAAGCAGCTGTGTGAGGTAGGCTCTACAGGTCTAAGAAGGAAGGAGATGATGTGTTAGCTACCAGCCAGTAAAGCCACTTCACATCTGTGCAATAGAGGGGACATCTAACTGTCAATGCAAAATTTATAGTGTAGGAATGTCTGGCTCTTTAAATAAATATCTGCACGTTTTGTCCAAGTGTTTTAGAAAGCCTAAAAGTTAAGGCGCCATAAGATTAACTACATAATTTAGCAAGCACTCTCTGCCCCGTGATTGTAATCATGTATGAGGAACAGAGATCAACTTCTGAGGGAAGTTGACTTCTGATTAAGAGGAGGCAGGGGAGGAGACAGTGTGCAACAGCAGACGCTGGTCGTGGGAAGATGATACAAACGAAGGAGTCACAGCCAGACCCATTCCTGCCCCCTTGCCAAGTCGGGAAGGCATGACTCTCCTCCCATTCCTCCTGCCCTATCTTCTTGGAAGGAAACAATGTTTGACACTAATGCTTAGGTGCTGCTTCATCGAGATTGGTCTAGGAACTTGGTAATGTTCCTATATTTTAAAAAAACATATTGAGTCTCAAATTACCAGCACATTTTTGATTTGTGTCACTTCAATAAGCTGCCTTTACTACTGTCCTAGCTAGTAAAGGACATTTTTGGTTCACTGAGGGGCTTGGTCATGAAGAGAGGGAGGATTTCTACTATTGAAAATAAATGGGGAAAAAGTGAGAACCGTTGGGTTTGAGGATATTTGAAATAGTACAAATGATGATGAAAGTACAACCCTGGTTGAGAAACATGAATGAAATTCATTCCTTATGGACTTAAACAATCGAAGCAAACAGAGTTTAAAGTCAAGAGCCAGTTACTTTGTACTTTACATCCAGAAACCTGCTTTCTTAATCAGGAATGATCAAAGTAAACACAGAACAGCTGATAGGTGGGACCTTTGGACAAGCTTAAAGGTAGACTGTGGAAGGTTTCATGAGACTTTTCTCTTTTTGTTTTTTCTTCAAATGATTATCCTGCTCTTTAATTCTTCAAACAATGATGTTTCAGCTTAAATTAGATAAAATTTTAATTTCTTTGAAATTCTACATCTATTCAAGAATTCATTGAAACTCTGTTATTAAAAATGAAGTTTTGGGACCACAAAAACAGTGGCGTGGTGATCTCCCACATGGCCAAGCGCCATTCATGTCCTTGACCTGGCGGCTGGCTTTCTCATCCCTCTCTCTCTTAGCTGTCCTCTCTTTGGTGAACACATGTGTCCTATGGCAAACTTAAAGAAAGAAAAGGAATAATAAATAAATAAATAAATAAATAAATAAATAAATTTATTTCTTAAAAACTTGGGGTCAGCAGGTGATGTGTTGATTAGGGTGGCTGGATCCCACATGACAAACTGCACACTTCAAGACCTGGAGGCTGGAAAATCATGCTGGGTGTGTGTGAGCTGAGTGCCCAAAGT